GGGGTCCAGCCCCCCCCACACCCTGCCCGGGCAGCTCTGCTGAGGGAGCCCCCGGGATTTGGTTCGGAGCTCGGGGATTAGCTCTGGGCTGCGGGAATCCCTGGCAGTACAGGCTGGGGGGGCAGCGGGGGCGTCCCGCGCAGCGGTGCCGGGAGCTGCAGGTTCGCCCTGCACACAGAAATTGCAGGTCAATAAGCACGGAGGTGGCGACGTGCCTAAAAAACCCAAACCACAAACATTTAAAGATAAGTTGGGTCATTACAGGGCCTGCTCTTCCAAAAGGGACTGCTATCTGAAAGGCTACAACTGTCTGAAATAGAAAATCTGGCTTCACATCCACAGGTATTTTAATCTGGGACAAGTCAAGATGCACACAAATCTCCTGGCTTTTCATAGAGTAGCGTGTGCCCTTGCTAGAACAACAGCCAGAGTTGCTGCAGGTTTGGGTTAGGCACCACTGTTCTCACTTAGGCCTAATAAACATAGATAATTGGTGGTAATAGCCTAGAAAGTGAGGCACACTGAATGCAGTTGAAATGGGAAGACAATCTAGACAAAGACTAATCAAATTCCAGCTGAGTGTGGCAGCAGGGCCATTATCTCTAATCTCTGAAAGATGTTTTATCAGAACCACAAGCGGTTGGTACCTTTCCTTTTGATGAGGTTTGAAAGGCTGGAGTCTAGTCCCTTAATTTCCTTGTAAGGATGACACTGGAACTCAGACCACTGTGGGATCCTGGCTTCTCCTACCCAGAAGATCCTCCCATTAAGTACTAATCACACCAACCTTGCTTATCCTGGGAAATGAGCAAAATGAGAACAACATCAGAATATTGACAGGATTTTTCTGTTCAGTTCATCTTCACTGATTTTTAACCTCCTTGAGGAAAGTTTTTGCCATGAGAGCTTTAGACAGTTTTCCACATGAAGATTTTTTTTCTCCAATTGCTAGGTGGGCTAAGATGCACTTTTGGTCTATTTATTTTTATTTGTTTTGGGATTAGGACCCTACTTTCTATGTGTGTTCTTGTTTGTACAGACAGATTAGTTTATTTTTTCCCTCCAGGAATAAAAAAAACCTTTATAATCAAAATCCAAAATGACAAAAGCTAAATTTGCTGCTTTCTAAACAGACATCTGCCCACAATGTGTAAACCAATAAATAAAATTGCTTCAGGTTAGTTCCATGTTGCTCACCGAGCAACATATATTAATTTTATCACTCGTAAATTAATTAGAAAATTAATTGCATACCAAATAATCTCTAAAATACACCACCTTTTTTTTTTTTTTAGCATTGTTAGTATACAACCTGGGCATATTTAAATAAGATTTTTCAAAGTTCCTACCCAGTGTTACATTTGTGATTAATATTCTGCTGCAATAGTTGTATACTAAACGTACTTTCCTCTTGACAGGGTATCAAGAACAGACTATTTGTGCACATTTAGTTAATAACTTCAACAGGTTGTCATTTGCACACAGGCTGCTGAAATTGTAACCAATTGCTGGACAATCTCAGGAAACTATTTGTTGTGTACGTGTATCATTCAAAGAGATCATTCAGAGCAATTAGTGTGTTGGGAGAGCAGTTCCAGAAATAAATCAAATCGCTTTT